TCTGCATAACATATTTAGGACAAGGCATATTTGAATATTAACTGCTGTTGTCTACAACACAATTACAGTGGACGTTGCCAACTGTATAATGTACATTAAAGCGTCTTTTAACAATATAAAGTGCACGATATGTATACATTACGAGTTTCGTTTTATCTTCTAAGCTTTCATTCATACGCCCAGGTCAAATACAACCTAGACTTTACATAAGCTCAGATCAAACTTCATCTATTTTTGAAAGCTTGCTCATCACACAGAAATTGTAACATGACAAAATACACAGGGGCCACTCCGAAAATTACAACTTTCAAATGAAAGTTTTCGGTGATGCACTCCGCTACTCGAAGCTAGATAAATAAATGTGGCAGTATGCAGACTCCTCCTTCATCCCCGTTGGCAGACCTGTTTTGTTGTAGTTGGATTAATGGCGCTTCGACTTCTTTGGTGATTCGCAAGGTAGGCACGCTCTCAGCTTTAGAACGCGCATAATGGTGCCCTATATACAACACACAAGCTATATACTTTGGTAGCATACACCACAATTTCAACACTGTATGAAAAACTGAAACACTTCATAAGTTCCAGTTCCACGTCATTTTATGCGTCACTGAAGTAAACCAACCTGTTCGCTCCTACGCACTATGTGCGCACAGTGATGGAAATAAATATGGGGGTGACTTGTACTTAGTTTGGTACAATTCGTCAAAATCTAACATTGCGACCTGTCATTTCACTCGAAGGACTAAATTAATTTTCGATATATTTCGTTAAACATTCATAGGATCTAAAATATTTCAAATAATTCTCACAGTCCTCAATTGGACATGCATTTTTCAGCGTATTTCCCGTAGAATACGGAATATGAAACGACACAAAATCACTAAACAGAGGCATGCATGCCTTCCGTCATCATTTATACGCAAAATTTAATAACAAAAATTACAAAAGGGCCATAATATGAAAATCAAAACTCTATAGGAACATGACTACGGACTGGACAACCGGGCAAAGGAATTTTCTTCTAGCCTCCGCGTCCTGACCGGCTCTAGGGCCCACCCAGCCTCCTGTCCAATGGGTACCGGGGTCTTTTCCCGGAAGTAAAGAATACACGGCGCGTGAAGCTGACAACTCACCACTGCTAGGCTATACCGAATACAAGAACAGACAAATCCCTATATAGACCAATCTGGATTTTAAAAGGAATCACATTTACTTATTCTTTACTTTGAATGAAACAACTCTTACACGCATGGAAATTAAAACGTCTTAAGTAGCACTGTGAACTGAGGATACTGCAGAAATCACACAGATAGTCGGTCCTGTAGCACGCCTCGGCAGCACTGAACATTAGAGACACCATTACGATAGTACCAAAGAAACCAAATCGCTGTGCCAACAGCAACTCACATACGAACTCAAATTCCTGGATTCGGAACACCAACTACAGGATTCCAAAAGAGTACTAAGACTAACCCGCTTTTCTGCAAGAGTACCTGAGAAAATTTGTCTCTTAAATTATTAAAAAAGATCACAAACTTGAAGATTTAAAAATGTGGCAAGTACCAAAATAACATAGCCATCACTTCAACGTCAATTAACTGTTATTTTGGAGAAAGTCTTAATTTTCCTGATAAATATTGTAATAGATAACGCAGTGCCAACTAGAGGGTCAAACTTTTTGAACTATGAAGTACTTTAAAAGTCCTATCTTACATACTTTGCTTCTCAACGCGTGTATAGGCGCACGTGTCTTCGAAACGAGGGCACCTTTCAACAACAGAGAAGGCTCAGCGCTGAAGAGATAAGTAGCACAACGGTGAGATATAAGCTTAGTCCATCTCCCAAAACATATTTTAAGATCAAAGCACGATTAAGCCCTTTGACCATTCTTTATAGAACAGATGGCGAATAAAAACCTTCTCTAGCCGTCCTCTATCCAACGTATTTCTTTGTTCTTTATAATTTAGTCTCTCAGGCTCGTTTTTCAAAAAATGAGAGGAATATCTCATGGCGGAGACTACGTATGGATAGAGGGATTCTGGGTTCCATCTGCGAGTCCTCTTGCTGAAACGGTGACCAACATGTGAGATTGCAGCTTCTCGTCGCAGCGAGCCTGAAGACGGCTTTTTCTTGGTTCCAGTGCCGTGTAGTCTGGTAGAAGTTTACAACGTTTCAGAGGTCCTTGTTGCCTCCATCATCAGGGTGAAGAGACAGGCAGCAAACACCTATGAAATACCGGTAAATGGCGCAACCACCCAGAAGACAGCCAACTTGTAAACAGTTAACCATATACAAAAATATGTGCCTTAACACATGCTATAAAAGACTGAAAATACATCATTATGGGTCCTTTACAGGAAGCCCATAACATTAAAACATGAGTGTAATTCTGTTCGTGAATGACGTAACAAAGCTCTGATAAAACCTGCAACTCTTCTCTAAAATGTTGATCGATATGACGAATACGTAACTAGAAACAAGGGAATATAATTCCTGAATCTAGGATAGACGAAAGCATAATGGACAGTTCCATGACAAGTAGAATGATCAAGGATGATCAGATGGGCGTGTCAGGTAGAGCACATCAAGATGAGAAATTTATGCCACGCATTCTACACATCTTGCACGTCACTGTACTTGACTTTTTCCCAAGCAATACTAGACAAAGAATGTAAACTATGATCCTCCTCGTTACAAATGACAGTTATGGACCATATAAAAAAAAAGCACGGGCAATCTTCGACTCAACATGCTGTATCAGACAGCGTTGAAACAACCATACTGGGTTCGCATCAGCAAAGATCACTTTACCTTTTTCTGCATAACTGCGTAGTGGGTACAACTCCGGTGGTCCCCGCAGCCTCCACACACACACACTTCACCTCTGTTGCGTTGTATAGGCCTGATTCTTTGTTTTTGTGCCTTCGCTCCCCCTTGTTTATTATCACAGAACTGTTTGGCCTAGCCCGAAATTTCATGGCCATATACAACTGTCTCATACAAGTGGTAGAAAACCGGACAATGTCTACACGCAACCTGCATCCCTTCGTATCCAACCCTTACCTCAGCTCAAATCCTCTGAAATACCCCCGACCCCCTCAGAACACCAGAACCCCAGTTGGATTTCCGGTGTAACACACAACGTATATGTTCCACATTCCCAATCATAGTTGGACAATGGGTTAGCATTTTTTCCCCTCTCATCCCTGTTGCTGCTACTACTGCTTCAGAAGAGGGGAAGACCGACAGGGTTGATATAAGGGGTGGATGGGATCGATACACGAGTATACAGTGGCCAAATTCGAGAGAGGGTGGCTCGGGGGTAGAGGGAAATGAAAGAGGAGTGAGGACCATGTTTTGCGGTCTGTCTCCACGGCCGGAAAAAGCGGACGACGATAGAAAAGAGAGAAGCAGAAACACCGGTGTAAAAGGTTAGAGTGAAATGAAAATAGAGGGAAGGAGATGTTGCTGAGAAGTGGTGGAGTAACAAACACGAACAAAAGAGTATCATAATACGCATGATGAAAAAAAAAAACATCGGCACTGCGTAATAGCTGAACAGTTCGAAATATGGAATGCACGGAGGCAAGGCTTTGCCTAATACGAATTTATTGCCTTTGGGAAAAGTAATATTTAAAAATAACCAGCATTCGGCATTAAGCAAATACACATACATGATACTGACTTCACTTGCCTCTGAAAGTACATCGGTTCTGGACAAGGTCGCAGGACAGTCACTCCACGCCTTCCTACTTCGAACATTATAGCAAATAACAAGTGTTTCATAATTAACTTCTGTTTGGGAGCCAAAGAGTGTTTTAGGGGTAAACCCGCTGACAAAAAGAACAGTGGAATTTGAACCAGTGGATCACAGGTCAAGATTACCTACAACATTACAGCGAAAATGATGCGGACTCCCACAAAGCGCTCCATACAGTTAGTATAGGCCTACGCTGTCCAGCATTTAGACCAAACTGATTACACGTCGTTAAATAAGCTGTTACTTCGCTACCACTCCCAGAGAAGGAAGAATATAAACACAGAAAAAGGCTTATCGAATTACTCTCCGTCGTTGATACCTCACGAAATCTTTGAAGTTCCTGTAAAACCAACATACAGAGAACAGACCACACACGAATTGAAATGCAACGGGTGGGAAACATTTCGACGCCAGAAACAAATCATCTTTACAGCCGACATGTTTTGCGATAAATACGGTAGCACGAGAAGTTCTTGATTCGCGGTCTTTCGTAAGACATGACTTTTGGTACAAGTAATGCCACGTTAAAAATAAACTCAAATCGTCAGTCAATCAAAGCAACGGAAGAAGTGAAAATAGAAGCACTAAAAGGCCAAGGATGCACATTTCAGTAGCACATAAAATTAAAACCAACCTGACGGCCAGCACAAAAACATTACTCGGTTAAATATAAATTTAATACATAAGAGTCGATCAATAAACGGGTTTCAGTCAACCAAGGAAACTGATTCAGCGTGTCATCAGGTTCGAAAAAACTGTGCATAGAAGATTATATATCCATTAATTACAGACAGTGCTTCAGTTGGCGAGACTGAAGATTCTCACGACTATCAAAGCCTCAATTATACGACGAAACAAATAATTATACACTTAGTACAAACCATTTCATTCCATATCAGATTCATGGCACTTTTCATCTACAAAGGTGACACAATATCAAATTATTCGATAAATGGGAAATAATCGTAAAGAAGAAATGGTTGAACATTAAAGGTAGGCCTATTACCCAAACACTGCATTCACCGCGAACATCAAATTGACGGTTCGACAGGGGAGCTGGCGCTCACGTACCAAGTGTCTATGCGCCCCACAATACCCTATCTACTAGTTAGGAGGGTGGGGGAAGGTGTGTCTAACATTGAGTGCTTTCGCTGCTGTTTACAGGTCAGTGCCCCGAGAAGAAAATTTACGTACTGCCTGCATACAGCTCATTCCCCGGCCTCAGAATACACACAAGTTCATGACCATAAATGACTGAAACGCGTTGCCCTAATAACATGCAAGAATTGGATACATATACAAGTTCAATTCCAGGGCATATTACATCTTGTTTTCGTTTATTTAACGACGACTTCTCAAATATATGTCAGACCACATAGCCTGTATCATCAGCTGGTAGGATGAAATTATTGAATGAGCAAGGCTAATGTATCATCAGCTGTAAGGATGAAATTATTGAATGAGCAAGGCTGTGAAAATAAGCGAGCGTGGCCAACCTTTAAAGACGCGAACAGAAATCTACCGCGACTGTCTTATTGCTGCGTGCACGACGTGAAAGGGTCATTGCATCGAACGGAAACTACTTCTCAATTGGGCTCTTAAAATCCAGCAGTGCTGGGTTTTTGAGACCGACAATCGTGAAGTGTACACACAGCGAGTAATTTCTACCTGGTGCATTGTAGCATTTTTTTTTCGAAGATGGTTCGACGGAAAGAGAACCACCAAACAAGTGAAAAGAGAAATGCACAAAGCCGATATCTCAAGAAAATGCATACTGTTGGTTCAACGCACTTAGAAGTTTTCAGTGCTAGGATGCACACAGAAAACACGATTCAGACTACTTACAAAGACTTGCACTTCGGTTCTTTTTACATTTTTTTCCCGAATAACCAACAGTTCCTTATCAAACCAGTAACCAACGCAACTCCTCCCAGACTTTCCATCTCCAAACATAGAACCGTTTCAGTTACGCGACTCTGTTCAACGTTCTCCAAGCACACTTCTTTCTTTTCGAGTTTTCTCTGTCGACTTCGAGTGTGTGAAATCTCTACTGGTTTCTCGAATCGATATTATACCAGCATTCTCTAAAAGCCACAGTCAGCACAGCCGGCCTCTGGACAGGAATCGAATCAGGAACCTCTCAAATATGAAGCAGGAGAGGAAACCAGTACACCGTGACGTTAGACTTACGCTACTTCCGCTGGTGATTAGTCACAGAAAAAATAATTCAGCTGAACACTTAACCGCTGAAAGCAAATAAAATTGTAAGCGTGTGACATCGCGCGCAAAGCATCAGTACATGACAAAACATGCTTCCATTGTAACTTGCCGTACACTGTATTGCTAAGAATATCGTCAGGTCAAGATTTCTGTCTTCTGGGTTCATCGCCCTGATGACGGAGGCAGGATGACCTCTGAAACGTTGGTAAACATCGACCAGACTACACAACGCAACAACCCAGAAGACAGAAATCTTCATACTCTGATGACGGAGGCAGTATGACCTCTGAAACGTTGATAAACATCGACCAGACTACACAGCGCAACAACCCAGAAGACAGAAATCTTCATACTCTGATGACGGAGGCAGTATGACCTCTGAAACGTTGATAAACATCGACCAGACTACACAGCGCAACAACCCAGAAGACAGAAATCTTCATACTCTGATGACGGAGGCAGTATGACCTCTGAAACGTTGATAAACATCGACCAGACTACACAGCGCAACAACCCAGAAGACAGAAATCTTCATACTCTGATGACGGAGGCAGTATGACCTCTGAAACGTTGATAAACATCGACCAGACTACACAGCGCAACAACCCAGAAGACAGAAATCTTCATACTCTGATGACGGAGGCAGTATGACCTCTGAAACGTTGATAAACATCGACCAGACTACACAGCGCAACAACCCAGAAGACAGAAATCTTCATACTCACCGCTGTGAAAACCTCAAATCACATATATCGTCAGGTCAATTATTGTAATCTGTTGTTAATTAGGCTATTATCAATATACGGTCTTGTTACTGTTAACAGGTTGCAGTAAACTTACGTGCATTTGAAGTTTCCTTCACATTTTCTTCCCCTAAAACCGACGCGTTAAATTTACACAAAGATCCAAATGAAGTAATCACAAAAGGCCCTATCGTTCATGGGCGGACACGAACATATTTACGATCAGTGCCCTGTAGTTTAGTTCTTAAAATGTAAACATCTGATGCGGAAGAAAGCAGCGGCTCGAAACAATGTTCTGCTCTTTACATCCCACACTTGTGCTATCTGTTTCGTCACGCATGTGCATTTCTGACGAGCAACTGTGGCTTATTTTAAGACAACGTCCTGGCATTCACCTGGAACATTCCACATTAAAACAGACTACACAAGTAAAGTGGTACGACCTACTTCCTTAGCAGTATAACAATTTTCTCAGATGTACTGTTCCTGTTAAACACCATTACCAACAACATGAAGTTCTTATTGTGTGGAGTAGGAAAAAGGCTGTTAAGATATTTTATACGTTGTGGTATATAATCCTTATGGAATTCAATCGAAAGGTCGGTTACGTTCATTCTCATGAATTCGGACCCAGGTTCATTGAAATATTTGTTTTCTTCAATTTCAAGCTTCGGTTTCGGTCCAACAAACGTAATTTAACAATGACTGGTCTTTCAGAGTAAGAAATGAGAAATGTCAAGACACTCTACACTCTCGACTTGACTTTTATTTAGGATAACTTACCTTGACTGGTTATGTTTCATTTGCAGATTTAATTTATCTGTTTAATCTGTTTAATGAAGCAAAAGCGAAACAAAGCCAAGGTAATGAAATTTAGTATTAAGTTTTTCAGCCACTTCTCGGGCATGTTCTCTGTAGAACACGGACGTGTGTAGTACACATCATTATAAGCCCATTAGGGCAGTCACGTCTCCAGGAGAATCGATGAACTAGATTAAGACAGACGATTCTATAAAATGAATAAAAAATATATCGGGCTATGGTGAAAGATTTCACGCACATCCACAAATATAAATGCCTGTATCTAATTTAGTCAACGCAGCTGGAAATATATACGAAAGTTGATAAAACATTTTTCTTTTTTCGTAAATGGTATTTACTCACACAGAATAAATAACTACAAACTTCAGTAAGCGAACAAATACTGAAACTGAGAAGACTGTTCAGCCCTCTAAGACGCCTAGAGACAAAGGGAGTGGAGGAGACAAGGAAATGCACAGCATACGAACAACCTTCTTTCATTTTCTTTCTTTATTCCTTCATTTCCTTATTTACTCATATTTCTTTCTCTCAATCTCTGTTCCTCTCTTCCTCAGTCCCGGTTCCCTTCTCTCACTTGACTCCTTTTTCTCTTTATTTCCCCTTCACACCTTCATATTTCTTGCCTCCTCTGCTTGTTCTTTATATACCTTGATTTGTTCCTTTCTTAATTAAATTATCTCTCTTCCTCTTTCTTTATTTTCTTCTTTTACCCGTATTCTCCCTTTCTTTCTTCAATTATCTGTACTATTCTCTCTCTCTCTCTCTGTACCTATATTTGTTCCTAAGATATCTCTGTTTGTTATTCCTCTAGCCAGAACTTTTAAAAGCCGCGAGTCCCCTTCCACATTCACTTCCGAGTGGAAACTCTTTCGTACGCGGCACAAAACTTGGCTTTCCAGGCAGACCTAACAGCAGTACTCTGCAAGAAAATGTTTGTACCCCAAAAACTTTCTCAGAATCCGTAACATATTTCCGCAAATTACGCTGGCGGCGAAACTCTGACAATGTCTCGGAAACAACATTTTCCGCTCTGAGACGCAGCTGAGTAGATGCTGTGAAGTTAACGAAATGACAGACCAAGTCGAAAAAGAAACAGGCGTGGAAAACACTATCACAAATAATGCAATCCATATTTTGCATGCAGGGCCACAAGAAAATCGTCGAATTTCAATCTAGGCGAGTTCCAACGAATCCCACTTTCTCTCTTTTGCATCTGAGATATCCCGAGTTCGATCAGCCTACCTGTCAAAGCGGAATTTTTACATTCGACCTTCGTGAGTTACACTGATGAAGTTTACTAGTTTCATTGAATCATCAGTATCAGTTGTAATTTTCATCACCGTAAATGCACTGCAAGTAACAGTGTGACTGGGCTACATAAATTACTCCAAACTTCCTCCATTTCTCATTTCAACAACCAATTTACCTTAATTCCATTATCGACGTTACCAAGATTGATAGTTGATACAGAGTATTTAAATAACAACTCAATCAATTAAGCAACAAAACACACTGACGCCGCTACACACCAGAAACAAGCCACGTCGAAGTTACCCTTGTTATAGCTCCGGGCCATGAAGAAACGTACTGGGAGACTAGAAACACAGCAGAACGTCAGCACCAGATGGGAAGGAATCGAACGTTCAGATTTGTATATCGGTCGCCTTCCCCACTGAAGATGCATTCCACGTGCTTTGAACAGAAAGAACGGCACCTCGGCTGAAAATCGAACCCTAGAAGTACAACCTATAACTAATAATAACACAATTCAATTCAATTCTTTACATATTATCGTGCTGACCAAACAGTCCAAATGCCAACTAGAAGACAACAAAGATAATAAATTTAAATCAAACAATATATATTTGCAAAATTTTGGCAAAATGCTAGGAAAAAATCGACAAATATTACTTGTAACAAGTATCTGGTGCAGCTCGGCACAATATGTCGAACATATAAGCAATTAAAACCCTACAATACGAGCCTCAAAATATAAATGTCTACTAGTCGATGATTTAAAAAAGGCCATCTTCCAAGCACGCCCCTTAGTGAAGATACGTTATGCGACACAACATACATGATTTGTATGTATTCGGGGAAAAAAACAGGCAAGTGCGAAAATTTCATACACACAGCACGGGCCAGGGTGCTTCCAGCGTTATGGACCATTCGTGAGCTATTTTTTCCAACCACAGTGGTAATTATATGTACCATCTACTTAAACATTCAGTACAAAGCTATTCTCCTAATAACAGCAATTACACGGCGCTACAACCCAGAAGACAGCCATCTTCAAACAACAATTATTTCCCCTCAACAGCATTATCCATATCATCTCTGTAATGGAGACACGGAATGATATGAAGCTACGGACTTCAGCAACAGATGGCGGTTAAGCGGTCATCTTCGCGCTCCGTCCGGTTTAGCAGCAATGTCCACTGAACAAGAGTATAGCTGGACTTCAGATGCGTATTGCGTACAGCGACGAAGCGAAAAATCTAAACCCTGATGTCAAGCAATACCACACCTAAACTGACACTAGTGTTCTTTGCTCTAGGTCAGAGGTTCCCAAACTTTTATACCTTGCGCCCCCTTAAAACGCCCCCCTTCCAGAACAAGTGCAAG